AGGGGGTTTGGACGCCCTTCTCCACGCTGAGGCGTCGTGAGCTCCGCTGTTGATGATGGTATCAGGGGGTGGAGGCGGAGTGAACGCTGCGGCACTCTGTGAGAAGGTACAAAGCGTCCTGCAGACAAAAATATAGGAGTCTGTAGAGCAGGGAAGCGCGTATATACCAAAGCTGCCGCCCCCTGCTGGTCAACATTGTGTTGATATGTCACTCGGGGGATATTACGCAGTTTTAGGTTTTTGGTGTATATAGCGTATACTCCTGTATGTGTGCCTGCAGGCTCGAGCATTAGCTCCTGGACTCCGCCTTTCTGCCCGAAAGGGTGTCTCGAGCAATCAATCCTGCCGTATTTCCCTATCTTAACTACTTATGTAACTATATATGGAGGTTGTTTCAATAATCTGATCCTTTAGTTCTCCTTTAGTTCATTCCATTTCCCCACTATTCTTACGCTAGATGAAAACTTTCTATCATCTCTTGTCTCATGGGTGGACGGTAGAGCGATGGTCTCGCTTCATGCAGGTCGGCGTTCAATCCCCGACCGTCCAAGTGGTTGGCCACCATTCCTTCCCCCCGTCCCATCCCAACTCCTTATCCTCACCCCTTCCAAGTGCTATATAGTCGTAATGGCTTGGCGCTTTCCCTTGATAACTCCCTCTAGTGTCATCTAAGTCTCACGCTTCTATACATGCTCTCCTGTTCTATTGGTATTAATTGAGAGCATTTCCTATTTTTCCAATCTCTCTAAAGTATTTTATACATCTCTATCATGTCTCTCCTCTCTCTCATCTCATTTTTTTTCTAGCGTCGCCAGGTTTAGTTCCTTCAGTCACACTTCATATCCCATCCCTCTCAGTTCTGGGACGAGCCTCGTCGCAAACTTCTAAACTTTTTTTCGATTTTCCTTATGTGTATTTTTGGGTGGGGCTCCACGATGGGTCGGCGTTCGCTGAGACTGGTCTCTCGTTGGCGGTATACAGCTGTGTGTGTGTGTGTATATATATATATATATATATATATATATATATATATATATATATATATATATATATATATATATATATATATATATATATATATATATATATATATATATATATATATATATATATATATATATATATATATATATATATATATATATATATATATATATATGTTATATATTACACGGGTGATGGAGCGTGGTTGAGTGGGTGTGTGCACAGGGGGAGAAGGGGGGGGGACGCGCCGGAGGGCCGTGACGTCATCAGACTACAGCCGTCAGCGTGATTAAGTGTTCCCAAGAGACACCTTTCACTGCTGGGGCCAGCAACACTTGCTCTAAGTGTGCCTCCAAGTGCCATGTTGCTGCATGAAGACACAGGTGTACACCTGCATGCTGGTAGTGTGGTTACATGAACACAGGTGTACACCTGCATGCTGGTAGTGTGGTTACATGAACACAGGTGTACACCTGCATGCTGGTAGTGTTGCTACATGAAGACACAGACAGGTGTATACCTGCATGCTGGTAGTGTTGCTACATGAACACACAGGTGTACACCTGCATGCTGGTAGTGTTGCTACATGAACACACAGGTGTACACCTGCATGCTGGTAGTGTTGCTACATGAACACACAGGTGTACACCTGCATGCTGGTATTGTTGCTACATGAACACACACAGGTGTACACCTGCATGCTGGTAGTGTTGCTACATGAAGACACACAGGTGTACACCTGCATGCTGGTAGTGTGGCTACATGAACACAGGTGTACACCTGCATGCTGGTAGTGTGGCTACATGAACACAGGTGTACACCTGCATGCTGGTAGTGTTGCTGCATGAAGACACACACAGGTGTACACCTGCATGCTGGTAGTGTTGCTGCATGAACACACACACAGGTGTACACCTGCATGATGGTAGTGTTGCTACATGAAGACACACACAGGTGTACACCTGCATGCTGGTAGTGTTGCTGCATGAAGACACACACAGGTGTACACCTGCATGCTGGTAGTGTTGCTGCATGAACACACACACAGGTGTACACCTGCATGCTGGTAGTGTTGCTACATGAACACACACACAGGTGTACACCTGCATGCTGGTAGTGTTGCTACATGAACACACACACAGGTGTACACCTGCATGCTGGTAGTGTGGCTACATGAAGACACAGGTGTACACCTGCATGCTGGTAGTGTTGCTACATGAACACAGGTGTACACCTGCATGCTGGTAGTGTTGCTACATGAACACAGGTGTACACCTGCATGCTGGTAGTGTTGCTACATGAACACAGGTGTACACCTGCATGCTGGCAGTGTTGCTACATGAAGACACAGGTGTACACCTGCATGCTGGTAGTGTGGCTACATGAAGACACAGGTGTACACCTGCATGCTGGCAGTGTGGCTACATGAAGACACAGGTGTACACCTGCATGCTGGTAGTGTGGCTACATGAAGACACAGGTGTACACCTGCATGCTGGCAGTGTTGCTACATGAAGACACAGGTGTACACCTGCGTGCTGGCAGTGTTGCTACATGAAGACACAGGTGTACACCTGCATGCTGGCAGTGTTGCTGCATGAACACACACAGGTGTACACCTGCATGCTGGTAGTGTGGCTACATGAAGACACAGGTGTACACCTGCATGCTGGCAGTGTTGCTACATGAACACACACACAGGTGTACACCTGCATGCTGGTAGTGTGGCTACATGAACACAGGTGTACACCTGCATGCTGGTAGTGTTGCTACATGAACACAGGTGTACACCTGCATGCTGGCAGTGTTGCTACATGAAGACACAGGTGTACACCTGCATGCTGGTAGTGTGGCTACATGAAGACACAGGTGTACACCTGCATGCTGGCAGTGTGGCTACATGAAGACACAGGTGTACACCTGCATGCTGGCAGTGTTGCTACATGAAGACACAGGTGTACACCTGCATGCTGGTAGTGTGGCTACATGAAGACACAGGTGTACACCTGCATGCTGGCAGTGTGGCTACATGAAGACACAGGTGTACACCTGCATGCTGGCAGTGTTGCTACATGAACACACAGGTGTACACCTGCATGCTGGCAGTGTTGCTACATGAAGACACAGGTGTACACCTGCATGCTGGCAGTGTTGCTACACCTTTCTGTGTTACTTAGACATAAATTTAAATATGGTTGTATTTATACAACATCATTGATGATGAATCTGCCAAGTAACATCATGTATTTAATTTGTTGCTTGTTCGTGTATTTTTGCTACACATCACCTCGCTGCCTTCCGTCCTGCTTGCCTGCCACCCTGCTTGCCTGCCACCCTGCTTGCCTGCCACCCTGCTTGCCTGCCACCCTGCTTGCCTGCCACCCTGCTTGCCTGCCACCCTGCTTGCCTGCCACCCTGCTTGCCTGCCACCCTGCTTGCCTGCCACCCTGCTTGCCTGCCACCCTGCTTGCCTGCCACCCTGCTTGCCTGCCACCCTGCTTGCCTGCCACCCTGCTTGCCTGCCACCCTGCTTGCCTGCCACCCTGCTTGCCTGCCACCCTGCTTGCCTGCCACCCTGCTTGCCTGCCACCCTGCTTGCCTGCCACCCTGCTTGCCTGCCACCCTGCTTGCCTGCCACCCTGCTTGCCTGCCACCCTGCTTGCCTGCCACCCTGCTTGCCTGCCACCCTGCTGCCTTCCACCCTGCTACCCTCCACCCTGCTACCCTCCACCCTGCTGCCCTCCACCCTGCTGCCCTCCACCCTGCTGCCCTCCACCCTGCTGCCCTCCATCCTGCTGCCCTCCACCCTGCTGCCCTCCATCCTGCTGCCCTCCACCCTGGTGCCCTCCACCCTGCTGCCCTCCACCCTGCTGCCCTCCACCCTGCTGCCCTCCACCCTGCTGCCCTCCATCCTGCTGCCCTCCACCCTGTTGCCCTCCACCCTGCTGCCCTCCACCCTGCTGCCCTCCACCCTGCTGCCCTCCACCCTGCTGCCCTCCACCCTGCTGCCCTCCACCCTGCTGCCCTCCATTCTGCTGCCCTCCACCCTGCTGCCCTCCACCCTGCTGCCCTCCATCCTGCTGCCTGCCACCCTGCTGCCCCCCATCCTGCTGCCTGCCACCCTGCTGCCGGCTGCCTGCCATCCTGCTGCCCTCCACCCTGCTGCCCTCCACCCTGCTGCCCTCCATCCTGTTGCCCTCCATCCTGTTGCCCCCCATCCTGCTGCCCTCCATCCTGCTGCCCCCCATCCTGCTGCCCCCCATCCTGCTGCCCCCCATCCTGCTGCCCCCCACCCTGCTGCCTGCCACCCTGCTGCCGGCTGCCTGCCATCCTGCTGCCCTCCACCCTGCTGCCCTCCATCCTGTTGCCCTCCATCCTGTTGCCCCCCATCCTGCTGCCCTCCATCCTGCTGCCCCCCCATCCTGCTGCCCCCATCCTGCTGCCCCCCATCCTGCTGCCTGCCATCCTGCTGCCCCCCATCCTGCTGCCTGCCATCCTGCTGCCCCCCATCCTGCTGCCTGCCACCCTGCAGCCGGCTGCCTGCCACCCTGCTGCCTGCCACCCTGCTGCCTGCCACCCTGCTGCCTGCCACCCTGCAGCCGGCTGCCTGCCACCCTGCTGCCTGCCACCCTGCAGCCGGCTGCCTGCCACCCTGCTGCCTGCCACCCTGCTGCCTGCCACCCTGCAGCCGGCTGCCTGCCACCCTGCAGCCGGCTGCCTGCCACCCACCGGACTGCGAGTATAAATCATTTGCTTGCATATCGCCCCACTCCACCTTGTGTAAATGTTGTGTATTATTTAAACAACGTTGTATTTCGCCCATACATTATACAGCCAGTTCAACCTTTAAAGAGAGTCATTTATTATAGGCCTCTGCGGGCATATTTAAAGGCCAATCAATCTCCGCTCTGCCTTACGGGCTATTCATGCCCGTGCCACCTCTTGGGTGGCTTAATCTTTTTTATTAATCCGCTCTGCCTACTATACACCCTGTTCTCTCTCTCCTTGTGTTCCAGGGCGTGCTCGAGTCGGACACGGGGTTCACCGGCGATATCTTTAAGCACGACGGTTTTGGTAAGTTTCCCCCTCAAAAGGGGAGCCAGCAACGTTTTCTTCCCCTTAAGAAGGGGACCTCCAGCCTCGCCTCGCTTCCCCTATCCCCACGTGCTAATGTTTACAAACATCTCTTCAACACCATTCCCGCCAAAAAGAGATATATTTTTTTTTTGCATGACATACGAATGCTATTTGTTTAGATTGTTTGCTATGACGCTTATGGTCTATGCTAAGAGACTTGTTTTAAGATTAATGTTTGTTGTTGACTGACCTCCTTGTAGGTCGGTTGTGTTTATTGTATAAACTAAACACCACTCCTGGTGTTTTGTTTTAAGTATGTCTCTCTTGTTATGTATTGTATGATGGTGGTAGAGCGAGGCGAGGCTGGTGTTCCTCTTGAACCATATATATGTATGTGTGTATGTGTCATATGTATCCCCTACTTCCTCTGTGTCCTGGGCATCTCCACTCTCTCTGTGTCCCGTGAAGATTCCCCCTGTCCCATGACCCACCTCTGTCCCATGATATCACCTGTCCCGTCACCCCCCCTCCCCTCCCCGCCCCCCCCGGCTGTGTCATGATATCAAACTCTATTATAAGATGAGTTCGCTACACAGTAAACCCAGAAAGTGCCACTCGTTTCATATATAATCGTTTGGTTCGGTGTCAGCAAAGGGAGGTGTGAGCCTTGCATTACGCACTGAGCGGAAGAGTCAGGATTGGCGCTGGAGCAGTGTTGCAAGCGCCCGGTCTCTCCTTAATAGTTCTGGGCAACATCTCTGGCTAGATCTGTGTACGCTCCGGGAGTACCTATCCTTGTCGTGCTGACCACCTGTCCCACTGGTGCTGACCACCTATCCCACTGCTGTTGACCACCTATCCCACTGCTGTTGACCACCTATCCCACTGGTGCTGACCACCTATCCCTCTGGTGCTGACCACCTATCCCACTGGTGCTGACCACCTATCCCACTGGTGCTGACCACCTATCCCACTGGTGCTGACCACCTATCCCACTGGTGCTGACCACCTATCCCACTGGTGCTGACCACCTATCCCATTGGTGTTGACCACCTATCCCACTGGTGCTGACCACCTATCCCACTGGTGCTGACCACCTATCCCACTGGTGCTGACCACCTATCCCACTGGTGCTGACCACCTATCCCACTGGTGCTGACCACCTATCCCACTGGTGTTGACCACCTATCCCACTGGTGCTGACCACCTATCCCACTGGTGCTGACCACCTATCCCACTGGTGTTGACCACCTATCCCACTGGTGTTGACCACCTATCCCACTGGTGCTGACCACCTATCCCACTGGTGCTGACCACCTATCCCACTGGTGCTGACCACCTATCCCACTGGTGCTGACCACCTATCCCACTGGTGCTGACCACCTATCCCACTGGTGCTGACCACCTATCCCACTGGTGCTGACCACCTATCCCACTGGTGTTGACCACCTATCCCACTGGTGCTGACCACCTATCCCACTGGTGCTGACCACCTATCCCACTGGTGCTGACCACCTATCCCACTGGTGCTGACCACCTATCCCACTGGTGCTGACCACCTATCCCACTGGTGCTGACCACCTATCCCACTGGTGTTGACCACCTATCCCACTGGTGCTGACCACCTATCCCACTGGTGCTGACCACCTATCCCACTGGTGTTGACCACCTATCCCACTGGTGCTGACCACCTATCCCACTGGTGCTGACCACCTATCCCACTGGTGCTGACCACCTATCCCACTGGTGCTGACCACCTATCCCACTGGTGCTGACCACCTATCCCACTGGTGCTGACCACCTATCCCACTGGTGCTGACCACCTATCCCACTGGTGTTGACCACCTATCCCACTGGTGCTGACCACCTATCCCACTGGTGCTGACCACCTATCCCACTGGTGTTGACCACCTATCCCACTGGTGCTGACCACCTATCCCACTGGTGCTGACCACCTATCCCACTGGTGCTGACCACCTATCCCACTGGTGTTGACCACCTATCCCACTGGTGTTGACCACCTATCCCACTGGTGTTGACCACCTATCCCACTGGTGCTGGCCACCTATCCCACTGGTGCTGGCCACCTATCCCACTGGTGCTGACCACCTATCCCACTGGTGCTGACCACCTATCCCACTGGTGCTGACCACCTATCCCACTGGTGCTGACCACCTATCCCTTCTAGTGTGTGGTGATGTCATCCTCCATCCTCTCCCTTCTAGTGTGTTGAAAAGTTTGGAATGTTTTTATTAGTTGTTTCTCTTATTACCAGTCAATCTAGGTGCTAGTTTATTTGCTTAGTTACACCCCCCTGCCTGGTCCACCCTTTGTCACCCTTGCCTGGTCCACCCCTTTGTCACCCTTGCCTGGTCCACTATTTTGTCACCTCCTGCCTGGTCCATGCCTTTGTCACCCCTGCCTGACCCCACTCCTTTGTCATCCCTGCCTGGTCCACTACTTTGTCACCTCTGCCTAGTCCATGCCTTTGTCACCCTTGCATGGTTCATCCCCTTTGTCACCCCAACGTATTATTGGCGTGGCCTACCCCGCAACCCATCCTCTGTACATATGTTCCTTATGTAGACCTGTAGTGCCTTGGCCAAGAGTGCCACACAGGGCCTTGACACGCCCTGTGTGGCACTCTTGATCCTTGCCATGGCCCTGAGTGGCCCTCTTGACCCTTGTCATGGGCCCGAGTGGCACTCTTGACCATTGCCATCGCCCCGAGTGGCATTCTTGACCCTTGTCATGGCCCTGAGTGGCACTCTTGACCCTTGCCATGGCCCTGAGTGGCACTCTTGACCCTTGCCATGGCCCCGAGTGGCACTCTTTACCATTGCCATCGCCCCGAGTGGCATTCTTGACCCTTGCCATGGCCCTGAGTGGCACTCTTGACCCTTGCCATGGCCCTGAGTGGCACTCTTGACCCTTGCCATGGCCCCGAGTGGCACTCTTTACCATTGCCATCGCCCCGAGTGGCATTCTTGACCCTTGCCATGGCCCTGAGTGGCACTCTTGACCCTGGCCCCGAGTGGCACTCTTGACCCTGGCCCTGAGTGGCACTCTTGACCCTGGCCCCGAGTGGCACCCTTGACCGTGGCATTGAGTGGCACTCTTGACCCTGGCTCCGAGTGGCATTCTTGACCCTTGCCATGGCCCTGAGTGGCACTCTTGACCGTGGCCGTGAGTGGCACTCTTGACCCTTGCCATCTACTGTTAAGGGCCAATACTTCATTACATCTGGCACCGTTTGTGCCGTCCAACCCATCCTGACCGGCCACCTGGCGTTCTTGTGCTCTGGCACTGTTTTTGCTCAGTTTGTTCACCTTGTCTATATAAGGCTTCTGTGTACCATTTTGTTCACGTAATCTCGTCAGCACTGATTACAGCCATCGTGTTGAACATTGCTTTCAAACACATGCAAGCACGTTTTTTTTATATAATGCCACGTGCATGGTGACTCTCTTTGCACGTCCTAGGTTCACGTACGTGTGTGTTTGAGTGTGTGTGTATGTGTATGTATGTGTATATATATATATATATATAATATTTCTTCTATGTCCTGCATGATCACTAAAACTGTCAATATTTCCACTTTATCTACACTACTATACACTACCTTCGCTACCATACACACACACACAGCAAGGTGTATTAATACCAGACGAGAGTTGCTGTAGCAGTCACGTATATATATACAACGTTGACAAATCATTATTTCCTGAAGTGAGGCCAAACGCCCTCCAGGGGGAAGCTACACACACACACACACACACACACACACACACACACACACACACACACACACACACACACACACACACACACACACACACACTGCGTCCATCATATAATCGCAAGCGTAAACTCGCGTTCATATTTCATGCGCAATATCCGTTTCTTTTTTTCTCTCTTTCTGTGTTTTTTTTATTTTCAGAGCGGCACTTATGAGAACGCACAGCTAATAAAACTGGTCACAGTATACGGTATTTATTGCTTTTTTGGCGGTATGGGAGCCTCGGTAATGATGAAAGTGACAAAAGGATGAAGGGTGGAGAGTAAGCGCGGGTCGTCCGTGGGCGCGGGTCGTCCGTGGGCGCGGGTCGTCCGTGGGCGCGGGTCGTCCCTCCTCCACGTGGTGGTGCTGGGCTAGGAGGGGAAATCTCATAATCCCGTACCGGGCCTCGACCCTTTGATCCTCCAGTCTTTATCAAAATATTAAACTAAAATACGGACCTCAGTTTTTATGCCTACATGATACGTTTTTATTATTTTCTGCTTCGTTTTTATACATATTATACAAATTATATATATGTGTATATATATATATACATATATATATATATATATATATATATATATATATATATATATATATATATATACATATATATATATATATATATATATATATATATATATATATATATATATATAAAGATAGTGTTTAAGGGGCATTAAAACCCCTTTAACACTATTCTATTAAATTCATGTACAAACCAGCCAAGCAACTGGAATATCTAGACACGACTTAAGATGGACGAGAGGAGTATCTTAGCAACACGTGAGAGAGAGAGAGAGAGAGAGAGAGAGAGAGAGAGAGAGAGAGAGAGAGAGAGAGAGAGAGAGAGAGAGAGAGAGAGAGAGAGAGAGAGAGAAGTCCTTCAAGTGTGAGAGCTGTCATCAGTATGTGTAACAACAGCTTATATAAGGTGTAAGAACGAAGTCATTGCGTTAAACAGCAAATATTTGGAATTAAGCTTGTTCCATGAAGCAAATGTGGTGCTGTGTGTGTGTGTGTGTGTGTGTACTCACCTAGTTGTGTTTGCGGGGGTTGAGCTCTGGCTCTTTGGTCCCGCCTCTCAACCGTCAATCAACCGGTGTACAGGTTCCTGAGCCTACTGGGCTCTATCATATCTACACTTGAAACTGTGTATGGAGTCAGCCTCCACCACATCACTGCCTAATGCATTCCATTTGTCAACCACAGAGGTGTGTGTGTGTGTGTGTGTGTGTGTGTGTGTGTGTGTGTGTGTGTGTGTGTGTGTGTGTGTGTGTGTGTGTGTGTGTGTCAACACCTTGCAAACTCTATGGCGTCAGGTATCTCGACACTTTCTTTTATTGTCGCTTCCCTGCCCCTTGCCCCCTGCCCCTGCTGGCCGGCCCCACACACACACACCCATGTATCTCCCCTCTTAATAGAGTCTGAGCCTCGGGTTACCGGAGCCAGCCACTTTGTCCCTCGCCCACTCGATTGAGCATTAAAAAAGGGGCTTCAAAATTGCCCCTCTCCATACCCCATCTGGTCCTCTGGACGCGCCATCTAGCTTTCGCTCGTTCCTCAATCTATCGATCACGCTCCGTTAAAGATTGGCGCTTAGTGCGAATATCCTCTGAACATGACGAACGCCACCGATAAACTTTTGGGGCCAGTTCTAAATGCTAAGGGAAGGGGGGGGGGTTGATCTTTGTTTAGAGGGGGGGGGGGTTTAGGGGAGAAGGAGGGTAGTGGGGCCGGGGTTGAAGGTACACGGGGGGGGGAGGTGCTGGGTTATAGTTAGATTTACATACATTTCCATGTTAAAAGATTGTCATGGGTGAAAACGCGGAGGCAACTTCCCTAGAAGACAAAAGGAATGGAAAACGGTTCGGTTGTCGTCAATTTTTAGCCGTGTCTTAGGGGGGGACTTTTATTATTTTGAGGGGGGGGGAGTGTGGAGGGTTCTTTCCCCCCTTGTTTGCATTGGTTAGTATTGTGTACGCTGTGATCAAGTCTCTCCACTGGCTGTTTAATATTCTAAGGTTGTAAGATTGTTTTCTTAACCTGTCCTCTGTCCTCATACCCCTCCATTCCTTATTTCTCTCTTTTTTTATTTTTCTCATTTTCATTGTTTTTTCACCATTTTTCTTTCCCTTTCTTTCTCTCTCTCTGTTCCTCTTTCTCTCCACCTCTCCCCCCTCTCTCTCTCTTTCTCTCTTTCTTTCTCTCTCTCTGTTCCTCTTTCTCTCCACCTCTCCCCCCTCTCTCTCTCTTTCTCTCTTTCTTTCTCTCTCTCTCACTCTCTCTCTCTCTCTCTCTCTCTCTCTCTCTCTCTCTCTCTCTCTCTCTCTCTCTCTCTCTCTCTCTCTCTCTCTCTCTCTCTCTCTCTCTCTCTCTTTCTCTCTTTCTCTCTTTCTCTCTTTCTCTCTCTCTTTCTCTTTCTTTCTCTTTCTCTTTCTCTTTCTCTTTCTCTCTTTCTCTCTCTTTCTCTCTGTCTCTCTCTTTCACTTTCTTTCTCTTTCTCTTTCTCTCTTTCTCTCTTTCTCTCTTTCTCTTTCTTTCTCTTTCTCTTTCTCTCTCTTTCTCTCTCTTTCTCTCTCTTTCTCTCTCTTTCTCTCTCTTTCTCTCTCTTTCTCTCTCTTTCTCTCTCTTTCTCTCTCTTTCTCTCTCTTTCTCTCTCTTTCTCTCTGTCTCTTTCTTTCTCTTTCTCTCTCTCTCTCTCTCTCTCTCTCTCTCTCTCTCTCTCTCTCTCTCTCTCTCTCTCTCTCTCTCTCTCTCTCTCTCTCTCTCTCTCTCTCTCTCTGCGAAGCCGGTCTTTAACGAGGGTCAGGAAATTGTTCATTTTCCCCACCAGCGGCTTACAGAGGTGTGTGGCTGCCTGTGAGAGGGGCGTCGGTCCGGCAGCTGGTCCCGGTCAGGAGAGCCCCTCCCTCGGAGGGTGAGACGGCCTCGGGCGTCTCATTTTACAGGTTACTGTCTTTCCCGGGTCGTCTCCCGTCTTCCTCGGCTCAGTCGTTCCCGGCTTCCTCGGCTCTGTCTTTGCCCAGGTCGTCCTCTGTCTTCCTCGGCCCTGTCTTTGCCCAGGTCGTCTCCCGTCTTCCTCGGCCCTGTCTTTGCCCAGGTCGTCTCCCGTCTTCCTCGGCCCTGTCTTTGCCCAGGTCGTCTCCCGTCTTCCTCGGCCCTGTCTTTGCCCAGGTCGACCTCCGTCTTCCTCGGCCCTGTCTTTGCCCAGGTCGACCTCCGTCTTCCTCGGCCCTGTCTTTGCCAGGTCGACCTCCGTCTTCCTCGGCCCTGTCTTTGCCCAGGTCGTCCTCTGTCTTCCTCGGCCCTGTCTTTGCCCAGGTCGTCCTCCGTCTTCCTCGGCCCTGTCTTTGCCCAGGTCGTCCTCTGTCTTCCTCGGCCCTGTCTTTGCCCAGGTCGACCTCCGTCTTCCCCGGCCCTGTCTTTGCCCAGGTCGTCTCCCGTCTTCCCCGGCCCTGTCTTTGCCCAGGTCATCTCTCTCGTCTTCCTCGGCCCTGTCTTTGCCCAGGTCGACCTCCGTCTTTCCCGGCCCTGTCTTTGCCCAGGTCGTCTCCCGTCTTCCTCGGCCCTGTCTTTGCCCAGGTCGTCTCCCGTCTTCCTCGGCCCTGTCTTTGCCCAGGTCGTCTCCCGTCTTCCTCGGCCCTGTCTTTGCCCA